TTTGGTTTAAACACTATCATATTATAGAAGCTTTATGAAGCAACACAAAAATGATTGTATGTTTAGCAAATTTTCTAAAGCTCCAAGCCAAAAATAATTTTATTTGATTTACTAATCCACATTTTGTGTCAAGGTTTTGAAAGAAGACTAGTATTGTAAGTAGATCTTAGTGACCTCAGATTTACAATAGGGAAGCATAACGAACATCATGGTAACTATTTGCACTGAGAATGGTTTTAAAGTTATCCTAGACCAGTATCACAGCCTCATTTATTTACAAACAAAAGGTAAAATCAATCCCCTTATACAAAGAATAGGAACTCACTAAATTCATTACCCAAGGGTAATAATAATCTGATTTTTTAAATCTCTCAGGTAAATAGAACACTGGAAATTGCAGGTAATTTTTAATTCTCAAGTTCAAAGAGATTTTGACACATTGTTAAGTTTTATCTTCTGTTATACTCATTAAATGGGGACAAAGCAATTTCTTTTATTATTATGTAACTGAAAACTTCTCGTTTGTTTCCCGGCTGCCCAGACCTGAATAATCACACAGAAATTACATTAGTTCCAACACTGTTTGGCCTATTAGCTCAGGCTTCTGATTGGCTAGCACTTACATCTTAAATTAACCCATTCTGTTCATCTTTGTGTCTCTACAAGGCTGTGGCCAACCAGTAAATTTCGAGTATCTGTCTTCTTCAGCAACTGCATCGTGTCTGCCTCCTTCAGCAGCTACATGGTGTCTCCTTGACTATATCTACTTTCTCTCTATATCTCTTCCAGCCTCAATGTATTCTGCCCTGGCATAGGTTGAAGTAGCTTCTTCTTAACCAATGCTAATGAAACATATTTGTAGCATACAGAGGGGAATCCCACATCGTCTCTCCTTTTCTGTGTAAATATAAAGGAAGGTTTTAACTTTAACATAACAAAATTACATATAACAAAACAGATATCAAGCAAGAATTACATTTGCAATTTTAGTCTATTTGTATTTGGCAAATTTAGAAAAATTCTCTATCATCTCTCCTATATTTGTGAGTTTAAAGTTTTGTATTTAATTTATTTTTATCATAACTAAGGAAAACTTTAGTTATCTATTTTCAACTCCATCAAAAACTCCTGAAGGATATAATATTGCCTAAGTAAACAGAAGTATATTGAAAGCATCTTCCTAAACAGTCACCCAAAGTTTTTCTGTAATGTTTGAGAATCCAGCTACAGCTTACATGCCCATAGTATCCAGCAAACTTTTCCAAGAAGCAGGAAATTTAAATATCTGTTCTGCCTTATAATGGCAATGTTCATCAGTTGCTTTCTTGTGTCATGCAGAATATCTGGAAGTTTCTTCTGTGAAGCAGGAACACTGAAGGAACATTTTGTCTTTTGGAAAGTTCAACAGTCACTTTTCTGTGGATCTTACATGTCCAGTTCAGGCAACATACCACAAAGTAGTCTGATACTTTCTTACCCAAATGGTTAGCCTTGTCACATTAAAAGACAAATTCCATAACTAGTTTCTCCAATGCCCATCATCCTCTTAAAGTAGATTGGTGCACCAGAAGCAGACACGTCTCATTGTGAGAAAAGCCCAAGTTATTAAAACATTTTAGATCTCATATTCTGTAGGTCTTTGAAGGAGTTGAAGAATACCTATCAATTTGAAATATATCTCTGTACATTTAGAAAATTGAACTATTATGACTACAAGTTTATTATAAATGACTATCTATTGATCTGTAATTGTCATTATATATTAACTTTTTAAATGAGCTGCACAAATATAATACTTCAAACAAGAGAAGAAATATATACAAATCAAACTTAAAATTCTGTCAATAGACCAAAATCCATTCCAATGTAAAATATTAATTTCTATATCATATTCCTCTTTAAATGAAAACAAACATTTATAAACAATCATTTTGGGAATTTGGGCATAGTTTTCAAAACTACTTCCTGCTGATTGTTGGACTTAGTATTCTTAGGGTTCACAGTGACCTTTTGGCGAGTCTTGTTCCATCAAACTACCTTAGCCTGGAAGGAATCAACAGACTCTCATTTTCTGTGGAAACAAAAGCAGAACCTCTTTTCCAAAGTAACGTTTTCTTAGATTCAAATTTTGACGTCCAAGATACCTTTATGTTGGTGTCACTTATCAGTCTCCAGAATCAAATGTCTCTCTGCAGTCAAAAAATTCAAAGAAAACCTAATAATATACATAATCCAGGCTTTCTGTGTATTTTCCATCTTTTCAGGGCTTACATTTTTTACTCTGTTACTTCTTGTTACTTATTTTATCATCTTTACTACTTTAATCAATGACTGTCTGTATTTCTTTTTCTAACTATCTATAGCCTTTTTCCTCTTTTTCCCAAGTCTATGTAACCTTTTTAAAACATACTGTGACCTGTTCAGATTTTTATTTTTGTCTGAATCTCTCTTTGTTGCATATCTGTAATCATTTCCTGACCAAGAGCACTTCTTAACATACTAAGTGGCATGGCTAAGACTAAGACTGCTTTGACTTTTGGCACCAGCCAATCCAACCTGGCAGAGGTACCTTCACCACCAGCTATGTGAGCCATGTTCACTGCCCCAGCCCCCGGGATGCAGCAGGTCTGTGTTGGCATTAAGCAATAGTAGCATGCTGTTCAAAAACCATTTTAAGGACTCCATAACTGCAACAGCACAAACCAGGAGCTGCACAGGTTTTACTGCTAACACTGAATCAGGAAGCTCTATCTTAAAGGATGCACATCTCAGCAAGCAGAGTCCACCAGAGAAAATGCTACTACCAAGAAACAGTGTTGAACTCCTACCCAAGCTTTCACAGGTTTTATGTGGATGTAGTTGTTCCACATTGATGCTACTTGTAAGCAAGTGTCATGCCCACCAAAGAAATGAATTTTTCTTAAATAGAGTTGGTAAAGAGATGAGACACTATCTAAAAGGAGAATGGTAGACGGTAATGGGGGGAAAGAAGAAAAATAAAATAAACAAAGAAAGAGAGAGAACTATAAACTAAAGGGATAAAGCATGGAGAGAAAAAAATAAAAAGATAAATAAAATTCAAATAACATATTCTGTACAGGTTGTGTTTATGTATTTATAAATATATTTAAAGGTACACATATGTATACAAGATAAAACATACATACATGTATGGTAAACCAACTATTAAAAATAAAGGCTATAAATTGAAAGAGAGCAAATAAAGATATATGACAATGAAGGAAGAATTGTTGTAATTATATTATAACCCACAAAATAAGAAAATAAAATTTAAAATATAATAAATATTAATGACTGCAATGAGTTAAGGGGTGTTGATAGAAATATCCAGTCAAATAAATTGTGACTAAGGCATATCTAATACACACACACACACACACACACACACACACACACACACACAATTACACATTCTGAAATCTTTTAAATGATTAGCCAAATAATTTCATTTGTTATTTATTTATTTATTTATTTGCCATAGAAACGTCTTTATTGTAGAGGACAGGAGTCATGCTGAGTTTGGGGACCATGCAGTGAAGGGGCAGTTGTTAGCTGTCCTTGGTGATCAGGGCCCCAGGTGTGCTCTGGACCCAAGGGGGCCTTCAGGTTCTCCCTCAGACTGTTGGTCTGGCCCAGGTGCTGTGAGGTCCTTTGGGGCTGATGACTCAGTGTCTTGGACCTGTGACCGGAAGGTAGATTGGAATAGAGACTCCAAGACTCGGGGTCCTGTGAGAGCCCCAGGGCCCTGCACAAATTAGAAGTCAGAGATTTTTGACTTGGGGTTTCCCTTGAGGATGCGGCCCGAGAAATTTGGAGTTTGGGAGATCAGAAGATCCATGGACTGAGGGCACTGGAATCCTCTCTATTCTTGTTCCGAAGGTGGGACCCCCTGTAGGGTCTCCTGGCGCCTGGGAGTCAGGTTTGAGAAGTCCTGAAAGCCTGGGATGTTCTCCTAGCAACAGGTTCCTTCCTCCCGGTCCTAAGGACCTCGTGGTTGGGGGTTTCCTGAGAGTTTGGGGTCTTAAATTTGGGATTCCCTGGGGATTTGAAGATTCTGTGACCTGGGTAGGGGGAGTCTTGGGAATTAGAAATTTGGGGGGCTTTCTAGGGATTGTAGGAGTTGGAGGCATCGGGAATTGGGATATATATATATATATATATATATATATATATATATATATATATATTCTCTGGAATTTGAATTCCCCAGAATTCTAGAATGAGGGGTCTCCAAATTTGGGGATTCCCCCCAAAGGGGAAGTTATTACTTTTAAAAAATAGAGAATTTTCTGGGAGCCTTGGCCAGCACAGGGACTGTGGGCCATGTGGGGTGGGCTTCGTATAAGGCACTGGGGTTTTCTCAAGGGCGCAGAAGGCAGGAAGACATGGTGTCCTGTAATTCATACTTCCAGGACTGGTTTGGTGTTTGCAAATTGGGGGTGACTGGGCTGGTTAAGTGGGTATCTTCTTCGGGGGTGAGAATAGGGTCTTAGTGAATGGAGTATTTGATAAGGAGATTAGCGTATGGGGGCCTTCAGGTGACCTTGGGGTCACAGTATCTTGAGGAGACTGATGTTCGATGCGGACGGTGATGTGGACGGCTGTTCTGGAGGTACGACCTATGCTTAAGGAGAATGGGGGTGGGCCTCTGATCCACTGCTGAGTGACTCAAGAATGTCCTGTCGTGGATAGGGCCAGCATCAGTTGGGTGATGTGGAAATGTCTTTATTGGGGGAACTCTGCTCTGAAGGGTAGGGGACAGGGACTAGCCTGAAGGTGCTACTCAGGGAATCTCTTATGGGGTAACATGAGGTCTGTGTTTGGGGAGCTGTCATGGGAGATCTGTTAACAATGGGACCTCAGTAATCGAGGGCTGGCTAACAGGGGGTTTCTATTCTGTAGGTATCACTGGGAGTCTCTATCTTGGGGTGATTGGGGGGGGGCTCCTTGAGTCAGGAGATGCTAAAGGGGATGCTGTCTCTTTGTCAGGTATCCAGGGCCTCTAGGGCTGCATCTCCGCCCTCAGCATCCAGGGAAACCAGCAGCAGAAGAGTAATCTGGAGATAGAGTTCTCTGATGCAATGTCCTTTGGGGTCCGGACTGTTGTGAAGGTGTGTTTGGGCTGTGTCATTGTCACTTGATGCACTTTTTTGGCTCCAACACTGTCTCCAGGGGGATCGGTGGATCCACCAATCCTCTGGATGCGTGAAGCTGGTGCAAAGACCCCATGTCGCGGGGCGCAGGTAAAGTACCGAACTCCAAACACAGAGCCGTCATGTTTGCCTGTGGGTTGGTCCAGCTCGATGCCATACCAGTAACCTGGAGCAAAGTCAGTCTTCCCATAGAAGCGCACAATCCCCTGCTTCTGGCCAGCGACAAGGACTTGGTCTCCAACTTCAGCCTTGGCCCCTTCACGCTGCTGTAGGCTGCCCAGAGATGGGGAAGATGGCGACTTCTTCTTCTCTTTGTGTTCCCTCCGGCCTTTGCCAGTTACACGGGAGAAATCCATCCGGGGAGTCCGGGGCGTGGAGGTAACAGAAGAGGGGGGTGCGTCCACTGCCTTGGAGATCTTGGACACAGAAGCAAAGAGACCCTGCTTTGGAGGGCAGATAAAGTAGCCGGACACCCCCAACACTACCATCGTTCTTGCCCTCTGGTTCATCTAGCTCCACGCCCACCCACTGGCCACTGGCGAACTCGGTGGTCCCGCAGAACTGCAGCGTGCCCGTCTTCTGGCCATCTAGCAGTACTCGGTCTCCTGGGCGCAGGCCCAGGGCACTGAGCATGAAATTGCCTGGAACATTGCCATAGTTGGGTAGTGTGACTTTGGGAAGGGTGCAAGACAGTGGCACAGCCTCTTCCAGCAGGGTCCGTAGTTCCTTGGCCACCAGTGCCGCCTCTGCCTTGTCAAGGGACATGTCCATAGGGTCCGGGACCACTTCCGCTGGTAGCTGTCCCTTTTGATTCCTCCGCGCTAAGTTGGCACCATGCTCCAGTAAACATTTGGCGGCGCCCAGGCACAGATTCGAAGCAGCGATGTGCAGAGCTGAGCCATAGTTGAAGTCACTGCACGTGGAGTTCACCACCCTGGGCCTTGCCCCCTTCAGCAGCATATGCACTAGGTTTGGCACATCAAAATAAGCCGCATAGTGAAGCGCATTCATGTTGGTCCAGCGGCTGCGCAGGGTCACATCTGTGCCCAGCACCAGCAGCTGCTGTGAGAGACGCACCGCTGCTGCAGGGTCTCCAACTCCATGGGTCCCAGCCTTGCACGCATAATGGAGCAGTGTCATGTCGGTGAGTCCATCGCAATCATTCACGTGGCAGCCACGACGCAGAATCTCATTGCCGATGACGTCTATTTTGTGCTGCACTTGGGGCACCCACTGGCGAACGATGGCGAACAGCTCTGGGATGGTGGTCTTCGGGTCAAACAGAATCTCCTGGCACGCAGGGTCATTGGGGTCGAAGAAGATGAAAGCGTAGTCCTTGAGGAGTGGGGCAGGTTCTGGGGGGTGCACAACAGGCTTCTGCCGGCGTTCTTGGGTGGGGCTGGGGCTTTTGGGACAGGTTCATCCTCTTCCTCCTCCTCTTCCTCCTCCTCTTCCTCCTCCCCTCGGGGTGGAGGGGTCATTGGGGCAGAATCTGTCTTAGTTATGGTCCTCGGTAGCTCTGGGGGGCTTGAACAAAGTTGGAGGGGTGGCCTGGAGGCGAATTCTTGGATGGCGGGTGTTGGAGAGAAAGGCTGGAACTGAGGAGACTGCCGGAGTAACGGGGTGCCAGTGTCGGGGGGGGACGAGATGGGGGAGGAGAGGGAGACAGAAAGAAGGGGACGAGGCATAGACACTGGCGGGGGGATGGGGGAATAGAGAAGGAGAGGCCTCATTTGTTATTTTGAAAATGTTTGGAGTCATCAATTGTATTGCATGTATTCAGAGGCACACATGCTATATAGTCAAATACAGTGAGCTTTTCTGGTGGTGAATGATAAGCACTTACAGTTGTGCAGAAGAGTTTATACCTTGCAGGAATTTACAAGAATGATGAAGTAAATTCTTAAGTCAAAGTTCTCAGTGAAAAACAGAACAAACAACAATAAAAGCAATCAAGGTCTCTTGTTCACAGCCTTCTGGGTGCTAGAAGCTGAGAACAGAACTCAGATTACCTATCAAGAGAGCTACTGGACATGCCTCCTGTCTGTGCTTCTCGGTCCACATATTGTACCTCAAACCACTCCCTAATGGACTGGTCCCCAAAAGGCTATTGGCTGAATGAAGTCTCACATCTCTATGCTGATGAACTTACACCTTGGTATATATAAGATGCATTGTACTTTTAGCGGTTGGACTCATTTGTGAGATTTCTCCTTTTGACATCATACACTGTAACTTCTAAAGAAGAATCGCAGATACAAACACCTCTAGGCAGATAATATAATTTCATATTGAATAGTCTATCTTATTTGCTGAGAGTGATCAGAGTAGTCTGAAGAGGTGACTCATACCTGTGATTCCAGCATTTTAGATATTAAAGAAGGAAGATCAAGATAATACGACCACACCATGTCTCTAAGTAAAGGAACAAGAGAAAGATTTTATGTGATTTCATTTAGATCCCCCAATCCTTCAAAAGATTTTTGGCTACAACAAGCAAAAAAAAAATTAACCCACAAATAATCCAGCACAAACATAAACAAGTCAACATTAACCAAAAGTCATGTCAGCCTTTTGCCTATTTGTATGGCAGCTGCCCTTAATCTTTTTAGAAGCCAACATTATGCTTAAATAAGGAGAAATATCCTGGTCTTTATAGGTAGACCCAGTTCTTTTAACAAATATAAATAATCTTTTTAAAAGATAAAGTGCTTATTTTAAAAGTTCACTTTAAGGTGTTAATGTAGTCATGCATAGTTGAACTAAAAGCAATTAGTATCCTTTATATTTATGGAAGATAATATGTTTTTTCAGTTGAATTGATTTCCAATCGGTATTTAATTGGTAATGATTGTGGCTGATACCCAAGAATGCCAAATTGGCTGTCCTGGATACCACTAATTAATGTTGTGCAAAGTTTACTTTAAATTTTTTAGGCACTCACAAACACACAAATGGCTTGTGTAAAATATTCCCAAAATGTGTGTGGGACTCAAGAAATCTTTGACCCTGTTTCTAATTACAAACAAAATTTAAAACTTTTTATTTCAGGTCTTTGCCTCAGATGTAGAATACTTCTTGGAATACCATGTTTCCCATGGTTAGAGATATACCTGAGAACTCAGCGTCTTCTTTGTGGCCTAGATGGAATGTTTAGTATAAATTACTTGATATTTAACACCCTACCTCTCAAACCTAAATGTTTATATTTGTATGGTTTACTATTTTACATTCAATATTTAGGTTTCTTGAAGTAAAATAACTTCATAAAAATGTGCAAGCTTTCAATTCTATAAAGATGTCTTCTACTTAATATGTGATTCAGTCCTAGGATTCCATATTCTATACTAGATGTTGATACTATAAAGCATGCACAATAAAGGCATGCTTCATTCACAAAGATTAGTAAGCCATAAGTAATATACCTTTTGAGTATATAAGTCAGTGATATAAATTCCAGTGAAAGCTGATGTCAGCAATATTTGTGCTAGGCTTCCAAAGCTGGGCAAGTTTTTCAGGGAGTGAGACTGTGAGTGCTCTCAAACACAAATCCTTCCCAGTGAACAAGAGCCAGCTAGATAAGGAAACCTAGGTAAAGGTGACAGGATAAGGCATTTCAGGATGTGTTGCAAGTGGTGAGAAAAAAACCTGGAAATGCATGGTAATTCCTCTTTTGAAAGAGCCCTCTTGAAATGTTTCCAGGATATGAAAGATGAAAGAGGTAATGAATGTGCTAAGATATTTAATAAGTTTGTATGTGTGTATAAGTCTTTGAATCAAGTCAGGGAATGCCGAGATCAGATTTGTGTTTTGTAAACTCTATACCATAAATGTGCAAGACAAGAAAAGAGAATAAAAAAACTGCACGTTGCTAAAGAAGCCTTGGTTGTTAGACATAAAGGAAAATGGTAATGGAGGACAGAAATAAAGGATTAATTTACCAGCTGTGTATGACAGGACAGTAGAGGCCAAAAAGAAGTCAGGAATCCAGATGATGAAATATCGATGAACAATTGGGTTACTCATTCTGCGGTTAATGAGATTTGGAATAATAAAGATAAGGAAGACAGGTTAAATTTTAGAGATCTGTGGGAAGTCAAGCAACAACTTTAAGACTTGGTTGTACTTATGGATTTGCTGTACAGAGTACAGTGGATGAACTGGAAACAGATGTAAAACATTAGAACAGGAATGTCTAAGAAAGCAACAGTTGGACTTCCTCTAGTAGGTGTAAGGAAAAGGTGAGAGAACAGGAATATATCTATAAGCCAAAATAAAGTTCTAACGTGCATCTTGTGGAGAGGAAAGCTACAGGCTTTAAGTGTCTAAGAACATAATAGTTTGTTAAATGTATAACTAAAAGAGAATGCTACCTTGAGGTCAAAGTCATCACTGTAGAGAGTAAGGAAACTTGGACCATGCAGAACTGATGCTCAGGCTGCACACTTTCTCAGAAGGCCTTTTGCTTTCAGTTCTAGAGTAACTCACATGCATGCCCATACATTCAAAATCACTGGAATATGACATATGGGTGCTTGGAATACAGTGGAGTAGAAGCACACAAGGTCTTGCCTATTTTAGCTCAGGAGAAAATAGATTACAGGAAAGGGACTTGTGATTTCTTTAAGTAAGAAAATGTCAAGTGGTGAGTTTCTTTATTACATCATTGTTCTTTTTTGAATTATTTCTCTGCCTTATACCCCCAAAACCATTAGTGCAAATAGTACTTTAGTCCAGAGTACTTTTCTTACTAGTTTTATCATGCTTTGAATATATAGAAAAATGCGTTGGAAATTTGTAAAATTACTTAAATCAGAATTAAAAATGCTAGCAGGCTAACTTTGATTTTCATCAAAAAACACTCATGGAAAAAAATTAAGGGATTGGAGAGATGATTGAGCATTTAAAGGTGCTAGCTGCACAATCATGAGGATCCCAGCATCCACACAGTCATCTAGGTATTGCGCAAGCTCCTGTAGATAACTCGGATGGATCTGATGACCTCCTTAATCTTTGCATGAGGTCAGTTGAACCTTCACACATGTGCATCTACACTCAAACACACAACCACACCACACACAGATAAAGAAAAGTTTTTAAAATTTAGGATTTATCACCACTGAGATATTTAAAAAGTTTTATTAGTAAAATAAAACCAAGATACACTGTTGAATAACTAAATTTTGAAGGATCTGAAATTGCTACAATGTTTATAAATTCCTAACAAGGAACAGTTGAATTCTTATGTAATGGAAAGCACAGACATATAAACCACATGCCTCTTGAATTAACAATGGGTTACACTTAGTATTAGCAGCCTGCTTCTGAATTATTTTTCTTAACAACTAAACACAAATGATTTGAAGGGACACCTTCTATTTGTGTATACCTAATTTTTGCCTTAGAACACAACTGAGCACTAAAAAGGATTTCAAATGAATTTAGAACAAAGAGTGAAAAAATAAGTCTTTTATACCAAATAATAGAACCCTTGTTTGGGTTAGAATAAAAGTTGGATAAATGTTTTAATACAAACGCTAACAATTCAAATCACTAGCAAGAGTTGTAAATGGATAAAGAATTGAATAAACTTGTATGTAAATCATTTCACCTCTTTCTCTTCCTGGAAATGTGTCGACAAATTTGCTGTCGATGTGAGAGATGGTCTTTCCAGAAACCACCTACCTGATGTGAAAAAAAAAAAAAAAGAAAAGAAAAGAGGACTTGTTATGAGCAATGGCTCTAAAACTTCAATTTCTTTAGAAAAGAAAAGATGATAGATAGATAGATAGATAGATAGATAGATACATAGATAGATACATAGATAGATACATAGATAGATAGATAGATACATAGATAGATAGATAGATAGATAGATAGATAAGCAGATGATAGTTTAAAAGAGAGATGGACAGACACACATACTAAGAGATTTTTTGATATTGATTATTTGAAAAAAAACAACAAAAGTATTAATTAGTGAGACTCAAACAAGAAAAAACATGTAATTGTCAGATAAGGATACCTGAGAGGACCACAGGCTTCACATAGTAAGCAGTTTCTTCACAGGTATTGGTTAGAACAACATTCCAACCAGACAAAAGCACTATATTTGCTTATCAAGTAAGTCAGGTATTGGCTCAAGGAAAAACAACTCATGTAAATAAGAACTTTATAAAAAGATATCTTTTTTCTTTGTTTTTAATTTTAATTTACTTTTTAAATTTCATTTTCACATTCCATCGTTTTTATTTCATAAAAATGGAAATAGAAATACTCTGTAGTTATCAACTTTTAATACATTTCCTCAGGTTGTGATGAAACCCAACCATAAAATTATTTTCATTCCTACTTCATAATTGTAAATTTGCTACTCCTGTGAATTGTAATGCGAATATTTTCTGTGCCAGATGTCTGATATGTGACCTTGTGAAAGGACCTTTAGACCCGAACAGGAGTCTTTACCCGCAGGTTGGTTGAGAACTAGCTACCTTAGAAGCACTTGATTGAGGGAGCCATTATGAGGCTAGCAAGAAACAGGGAAATATCGAAGAATCCACAAGGAAAACCCCAGCTAAGACCCTAAGCAATAGTGGAGAAGGTGTCTGAACTGGTCTTCCCCTGCAATCAACTTAATGACTACCTTAATTATCATCATGGAACCTTCATCCAACAGAACATGGGGGAG